GGCTTGGCATCCCTAGTTTTGAAGGTTCCCATTATCCATCCTGTCATTTTTCTAGCAGATGCGATTGATACAAAGTTATGGTCCTTGAAGGTGAGATCCTCCGGCATGATCACTTCCAGGTTTTTGACGTTGGTGTTTCGCTCTATTTTGTGGCCAGAATTTGTTTTGTACTCTGATGAAGATTTAATTTCCTCGTGTTTACCATATCTGAGTAATTGAAATTTCTCATCGTTGAACTTCATATTGTTTTCTGCAGCCCACTGAAAGATTCGGTTGATGTCCGCCTGGAGCCTTGCAGTGTCTGCAATGGAAGACACTGTCATGCAGATTCGGGTGTCATCTGCAAAGGAAGACACGGTGCTGTGGCTGACATCCTTGTCTATGTCGGATATGAGGATGAGGAACAAGATGGGAGCGAGTACTGTGCTTTGTGGAACAGAGCTTTTCACCGTAGCTGTCTCGGACTTTACTCTGTTGACGACTACTCTCTGTGTTCTGTTAGTGAGGAAATTATAGATCCATCGACCGACTTTTCCTGTTATTCCTTTAGCACGCATTTTGTGCGCTATTACGCCATGGTCACACTTGTCGAAGGCTTTTGCAAAGTCTGTATATATTACATCTGCATTCTTTTTATCTTCTAGTGCATTTAGGACCTTGTCGTAGTGATCCAATAGTTGAGACAGACAAGAGCGACCTGTTCTAAACCCATGTTGCCCTGGGTTGTGTAACTGATGGGTTTCTAGATGGGTGGTGATCTTGCTTCTTAGGACCCTTTCAAAGATTTTTATGATATGGGATGTTAGTGCTATCGGACTGTAGATCTTTGCTGTTGCTTTACTGCCCCCTTTGTGGAGTGGGGCTATGTCTGTTGTTTTTAGTAACTGTGGGATGACCCCCGTGTCCATGCTCCCTCTCCATAGGATGGGAAAGCTCGTGATAGGGGCTTCTTGCAGTTCTTGATGAACACGGAGTTCCATGAGTCTGGCCCTGGGGCAGAGTGCATGGGCATGTCATTTATCGCCTGTTCGAAGTCATTTGGCGTCAGGATAACATCGGATAGGCTTGTGTTAACCAAATTTTGTGGCTCTCTCATAAAAAATTCATTTTGATCTTCGACTCTCAGTCTGGTTAGCGGCTTGCTAAAAACTGAGTCATATTGGGACTTGAGTAGCTCACTCATTTCCTTGCTGTCATCTGTGTAGGACCCATCTTGTTTAAGTAGGGGCCTAATACTGGATGTTGTTCTCGACTTTGATTTGGCATAGGAGAAGAAATACTTTGGGTTTCTTTCGATTTCATTTATGGCTTTTAGTTCTTCCCGCGATTCCTGACTCCTATAACATTCCTTTAGCTTGAGTTTGATGCTTGCTATTTCTCTGACCAGTGTCTCCCTACGCATTTCAGATATATTGACCTCTTTTAGCCGCTCTGTTATTCTTTTCCGTCGCCTGTAAAGGGAGCGCCTGTCTCTTTCTATTTTACATCTACTCCTCCTTTTTCTTAGAGGAATAAGCCTTGTGCATACATCGAGTGCCATCAAGTTAATCTGTTCTAGGCATACGTTGGGGTCTGTGTTGCTTAGTATATCTTCCCAGCTTATATCAGTTAGGACTTGGTTTACTTGGTCCCACTTTATGTTTTTGTTATTGAAGTTGAATTTGGTGAATGCTCCCTCGTGACTAGTCTCATTATGTCGGTCTGGGGCTCCACGCATACATGTCTGAACCTCAATTATGTTGTGATCTGAGTATATTGTTTTTGATATGGTGACATTTCTTATCAGATCATCATTGTTAGTGAAGATGAGGTCTAGTGTATTCTCCAGTCTAGTAGGCTCTATTATTTGCTGGTTTAAATTGAATTTTGTGCAGAGATTTAAAAGTTCGTGTGAGTGTGAGTTTTCATCAGAGCTGCCTCCTGGTGTTATTACTGCAACAATATTATTTGCTATATTCCTCCATTTTAGGTGCCTTAAGTTGAAATACCCCAGTAGCAAGATGTTGGGGGCAGGAGCTGGAAGATTTTCCAGACAGTGGTCAATTTTTAACAGCTGTTCCTGGAATTGCTGGGATGTTGCATCCGGAGGCTTGTAGACTACCACAATGACTAGGTTTTGGTTCTCGACCTTTACTGCTAAAACTTCCACTACATCATTTGAGGCATTTAGCAGTTCTGTGCAAACAAGTGACTCTGCAATGTACAGGCCAACCCTCCCCCCTTTTGCCTGTTCACTCTGTCACATCTGTATAGGTTGTAACCTGGGATCCATATTTCGTTGTCCAAGTGATCCTTTATGTGGGTCTCAGTGAAAGCCGCGAACATTGTCTTTGCCTCTACAAGAAGTCCACGGATGAAAGGTATTTTGTTGTTTGTTGCTGGCTTTAGACCCTGTATATTTGCAAAGAAGAATGTCATCGGACTGGTGGTATTGTTTGTACTGGGGGGGGGGATTTTTTTTCCGGCATTATTATCTGTATCTGTTGGTTTGGAGTGGAGGCCATCGACTGTGGTTTCACTCCAGGAATGACTGGATTTGGTGTACGATTTCTGCCATTTCCTGCCAGTTTTTTTTCCTTCCTGGCATTAAAAAAACCTCTCCCTCTTGAGTGGCTGTGGCTACCCAGGTTTTCCCATGGTCTGGATGTTTTGTATCTTTTTGTACCCTTTAGATGGTGTGCGTGGCAATTTAAGTTATAGCACAGTCTTTCCTGTACTGAAGAGGTACACATTTCAGGGTGAAAAAGCTTACAGGTAGGGAGTTTGCATTTTCCTGTTGTCATATGGGCATGGCATTTTCTAGGGTGGTCATAGTTGCACGTCCCGTCTGTTTTTCCAGATTTCCCATGTCTGCAGATACCAAGTGCATAGTATGTGCACAGGCTTGGTTTCCGTTTGCCTTGGGTTTCTGTGACTGTATTCCCTGTTGGTGCACGTTTCCCTGTCTTATTCCTATCCTCCCTAGCACCAACAATGGAGCTCCCACCAGTTGTTTTTGGTAATATATCCTCACTATAGCTAGTGGAGTCCTCTTGTTTGCTATTTCCTGTGGTATTTCTAGTTTGCAATATTGGTTTTATCTTATCTTTGACTACACTTGTTTCCCCACTACGGCTCCTGTCCCCTATGAGGTCATTTATATGTATTCCTTCCTGCGTATAATTCCTGACTACCTGGACAAAATCTCCAGCTTCACCATTACTGTCTCCCAGGACAGCACCTCCAGCTTCACCATTACTGTCTCCCAGGACAGCACCTCCAGCTTCACCATTACTGTCTCCCAGGACAGCACCTCCAGCTTCACCATTACTGTCTCCCAGGACAGCACCTCCAGCTTCACCCTTACTGTCTCCCAGGACAGCACCTCCAGCTTCACCATTACTGTCTCCCAGGACAGCACTATCAGCCCCACCTTTACTGACTACCAGGACATCACCTCTAGCCTTACAGTTTCTGACTACATGGCCAGTGTCAAGGGCAGTACCATTCAGCCCAGACTTTTTATGTTCCCATCTGTTGTAGAAAGCTTCCAGGTTGTCTATGAAAGCAGCTTTGATGTTATCTTCTTTTAATACCCTTGTGATTTTAGTCCACAGATTTTCCTCATTTGGGTATACCCAAAAACACTTCCCTGTTTTAATACTGCTTGTAGCTAGTTCTTGGATATCTGCACAAGGGGCGTGACACCAATTTCCACAAAAATGACAATTTATCCACGTGGAAGCCCGTTTGTTTGATTGACTGCAGACTATACAGAGCTTCATAATGATTTGAGTGGTTGATTTACTGTAATTCTACTAGCATCCTCTTGAATACTCTATTAATAACCTCCTTAAATGAAGCTCTAGCTATTTGTATTTCTATTTCTAACTATTTGGACTGCTTACCGTGTACGTTCCTGATTTGTATTTATTGTTTGTGTTTGATAAGGGCGCCTACAACCCCATCCGTTTACAGTCTGCTTTATTGTCCAACGAATCCGTTTGAAACCAGTCAAGGGTTTGTACCATCAAGGGTTCGGACCAGTCGAGGGTTCGGACCAGTCGAGGGTTCGGACCAGTCGATCTGATCTGATCAGTGGGTCACTTATTTAAAACATACTGGTCGGTAATTTGGGCTAACACATGAAGGATCTACTTGAAATTATCTACCCGAGTAATATGTGATTTGGATTGATACAAAAGTATAACTTGCGTAAACCAAGTAAACCAAAATAACATACAGTCCAATTAACTTTATTTACCAGAGTAGCTGGTTTTAATATTATAATTATTAATTTAATGTCAGATCTAGTTTTTTTTGTGAGAGTGGTGAAGAAGTGGGCAGTCAAAGGAGTTGCAGTTCAGCGACCTATTGTGACTAAGTCCCACTTACCTCACCCAAATTACTTGCAGGTAAAAATTTATGTGATACCCTGTAAGCCTCCTGCAGGTGATTTGCTCATACAATAATAATAATAATAAAATAATAATAATAAAATAATTTTCACACAAATCACTCTCCCTCTTTTTCTATGTTCTTTCTGCAAGTTTAGGATTCTGGTGATATACTTGTGCAAGTTTGATACTAATACCTCTAGGATTTTCCAAGTGTATATTATCACGTATCTTTCTGGCCTTCGTTCCAGTTTTGTTAAGGCAAGGCTACTCGAACAAAGAAAAGACATTCTCCATCACTTATGTTTCTGCTGTCGTTTAGAAGAATGTACTGTATATGAGCATCACCATTCAGAAGACTCGCTTTTTAATCAGGTTTCATACGTAATGCGAACTTTGGGTGTTAATTATGTGATTTTTCTTGATAACTTGTAATCTATATATATATATATATATATATATATATATATATATATATATATATTATATATAATATATATATATATATATCAATATCAAAATCTCAATAATAATTATGTGGGTGCTAGAAAATATACTTTATTTATACTGTATTTTAAAAGTTCAATTAGAATTTATTGTCCGGCATACAAATAAAACAACACAAAAACATTTCCATATATTTCAGCAGGATGGGGTGTACATTATGTAGATACAAAGGTACACAGAATTACCAATCATATTCCCGTATCCTGGTAGGGATAGACAGGATGACAACACCAAGATCAAATTACCCAAGAGATAAATAAAATCACGGGTTATTTTGCACGTAAACTCATTGCAAACTGTCATCATGGGTTTCAGCTGAAGATAATGGGACAGGCACTTTTAATGGACATTTATCTTGCACATAATAGGCATGCTGGGTATACAAGTATTATTATATAGGGTGATAATGTGAGAGTATGGCATTGAACGAAGTGCTGTGGTTTTATTTACAGCGAGGAATAAGAGAATGATTTTTTGTTCAGTGAATATCACCAGAGGTACATATTTTCTGCCTATTTAAAAATGAATGCACGTACTGTATTTGATGCTGATGATTGTAATTATGAATTATTTTATGAAATAACGTATAAGACATAGTTATCTATAATAGTAATAAAATTTTATAAGTTTATTTGTTCAACTGATTTAAAATTTAAAAACTTTGGATTAGTGATAATGTTTAGCTGCTCTGTATAATCTAGACAATTTTATAGTGTAATTATAACAAGTTTTTCATACACAGTCAGTGAAAACAAAGTAGATGTATTTATGTGAAGCAAAACTATAGCATGTTTTAAATTATACACATGAATAGTAATGAAGTTCACAAGTACACTTTAAAAATTGATTGAATTTGAGTTTGGTAATATAATAACCAAGATAATTTATGATCACCATTGAACTGGAGAGGAAGAGTACATATATTCATTAACATCTTTATTTATTGGTATCCTTTTTACATACTATGTATTTCTAGTCAACATTTATAATTAAACAGCATCAAGGCTATAAAGAAACACGTTATTTTCATCACATCTGAGCTGACAGATTCTTCAACGGGAAATAATGAATAACCTAACCTAGGTCTGAAAATTAACTTAGATTTTAATGTAAACAGAATACAAGGTTCTTCTGTGTCATGTTTCTACTACTACCGTCTTAGTCTTTACTGTGGGTTCTCATCCAGTTGACTGCCTTTAATTCACAATATTTATATATCAGCACCTTAAGTTTTGTTTTAGTATTGATGAAACAAATATTATTCTTTCTCCAGGTAAACTCCAGGTAATGTCTGTAGAATGTGGTAAAACTCAACCTTGTGTTCTTCATGAAGCTGCGTTCATCACCCTCCACTCCGGTATATGAGTTTGCTGGTATCATCTGCTTCTTAAAGTTCATTTTCAGTGTTGAACGTGGCAGCACTCTCTATAATGCCATCATCCTGCTACAAAAAAAAAAAAAGAATTTTAGTAGACTATAATTTCATAACAGTGAATAATAAAAAGACACAATACCGTGACTGGAATAATACTCAAATAACCGTACATTGGAGAAATTTATGATGACACCTTCACGCTCGTGAGGGGCTCTTGATCTAGGGAACTGGATCTGTGCTTTGGTTTCTTGAATTGAGTCTGAATACCTTCTGTGGAAATTTTTCACATAGTTTCCTAAATGTAGAACATATAAATGAATAATATAATAATTACGTATTAAAATGTGATGATATTTTGACCCTTCAAGAAATTTCGAGTGAGTGGGGAGGCAGAACAGCCGAGGAGTGACGCCGCAAGGGGGGGGGACATACTGAATTCAATGTGTGAACACTAGACTGAATTGTGCCATGTAATCAGGCGTTCTCGAAGGTCAGTTAGTGTATATCAGTCTCAATCTTTAATTTAGAAACTGCTGACATGTTCCTGCTGAAGAATTGGGATAAATAGTGTGGAAAGCCCACAATTTGGAAACAAGGACGGAAAAATAGAGGACTTGAATGAATCTTTCTCAACAACACACCTTAGCTAAGTGATGCATACCCATAATGTACAGTAGTTGTTGCATTGGCCATTGCAAATCCTAGATGTAGAGGTGGCGTTAGGGTGTGTTTCCATAAAATAATTATCATCCAGTAATTAAATGGTAAGTGATAATACGAATTTCTTTAGTGTATCCAGCAAGCCAAATCATATACAGTCCACATTATTTTATAATTTACCATTGTTGGTATTAATGTTTAATATTGCAATTATTAATTTAATATCAGGTCTAGATTTTTGTGAGAGTGGTGAAGAAGTGGGCATCGAGGGAGTAACAGTCCTGTGACCTACTGTGGCTTAAGTACCACTTATATCACCTAATAATAATAATAATAATAATAATAATAATAATAATAATAATAATAATAATAATAATTTACAATAAGCCTTTGGTTCTAAAGAACTCGGATATGTAACCAGTAAAAATTTTATTTAATTTCATAATTTGATTGAAAGTAATGGATTGCTGGGTTCATGTATAATTGACATCAATTAATTAATTAATGGTGTTTGTGTAATGCATATTCACAATTAACTGGATTTGCATGCCCAGTGGGGCTGGAATTGTATTTCTTATACATTTGTAACATTAATGGATTTGTGTAATTATATATATATATATATATATATATATATATATATATATATATATATATATATATAATATATATATATATATATATAATATATATTATATAAATTGCTAAGCAAAGCGAGGCTAGGATTGTAATTGCTATAATTATTAATTTCCTACGCCCAGTTAGGGCTAGAAATGATAATTGTCTTCTTTCTGATTATAATAATCATAATTATAATTAACTTGCTAAGCCAGGAAATATTTGGCTAGGATATTTGGTGCATATTGTAATAATTATACCAGTGCCACATTGGATAATTTGCATAACCAGTGTTCATTAACTGAGTCTAATACATAAAGGAGCCATGGATGAGAATAGTGGAGTTAATGTGAATGGAAGATCCATTTGAATTAAAGCCTTAAAGGCCTCATTAAATGCAAAAAAAGGTCATGTGAGCAGTGCTTATAATAAATGCCTGGAACTGGTGGCAGAAGAAAATGTGAATAAGGTTAATTTAGAAATCATTAGAGAATAGGTATGTCATATAAATTGTATTACAAAGAATATGAAGGAGATCTGCTGGGGAATTGTGCAGATGATAATGAGAGGGAGTTATTAATTAGTATTATGAACTGGAAGAGAAAATACTCTCATGTAAAAGTGAGGTATTAAATAAATTAAAATGTGTAAATACTACAGTTGAGCAATCTAGTAATATAAGTGCCAGATCTTTGCCCAAACTCCCAGAGTTAAGTCTACCAACATTCAATCCAGGAGACAACTGGGAGGAATTCTGGTCAGTATTTAAGGCTGCTGTACAGGTAAGGAATGACCTAGCAGAGGTCACAAAAATTATTTTATCTTGAAGGGCAGGTCAGAAGCGATGGTTATGCCCTGATTCAAGGTAATGCCTCAAATGATGTAGTGGAAGTTTTAGCAGTAAAGATCGAGAACCAAAACCTAGTCATTGTGGTATTCTACAAGCCTCCGGATGCAACGTCCCAGCAATTCCAGGAACAGCTGTTAAAAATTGACCACTGTCTGGAAAATCTGCCAGCTCCTGCCCCCAACATCTTGCTCCTGGGGGATTTCAACTTAAGGCACCTAAAATGGAGGAATATAGCAAATAATGTTGTTGCAGTGATAACACCAGGAGGCAGCTCTGACGAGAACTCACACACACACGAGCTTTTAAATCTCTGCACAAAATTCAATTTAAATCGGCAAATAATAGAGCCTACTAGACTGGAGAATACACTAGACCTCATCTTCACTAACAATGATGATCTGATACGCAGTGTCACCATATCAAAAAAATATACTCAGATCACAACATAATAGAGGTTCAGACATGTATGCGCGGAGCCCCAGATAGACATAATGAGATTAGTCACGAGGGAGCATTCACTAAATTCAACTTCAATAACAAAAACATAAAGTGGGACCAAGTAAACCAAGTCCTAACCGATATAAGCTGGGAAGATAGACTAAGCAACACAGACCCCAACTTATGCCTAGAACAGATTAACTCAGTGGCACTCGATGTAAGCACAAGGCTTATTCCTCTAAGAAAAAGAAGTAGATGTAAAATAGAAAGAGACAGGCGCTCCCTTTACAGGCGACGGAAAAGAATAACAGAGCGGCTAGGGAGTCACTGGTCAGAGAAATAGCAAACATCGAACTTAAGCTAAAGGAATCTTATAGGAGTCAAGAATCGCGGGAAGAACTAAAAACCATAAATGAAATCGAAAGAAACCCAAAGTATTCCTTTTCCTATGCCAAATCAAAGTCGAGAACAACGTCCAGTATTGGGCCCCTACTTAAACAAGATGGGTCCTACACAGATGACAGCAAGGAAATGAGTGAGCTACTCAAGTCCCAATATGACTCAGTTTTTAGCAAGCAGCTAACCAGACTGAGAGTCGAAGATCAAAATTAATTTTTTATGAGAGAGCCACAGAATTTGGTTAACACAAGCCTATCTGATGTTATCCTTACGCCAAATGACTTCGAACAGGCGATAAATGACATGCCCATGCACTCTGCCCCAGGGCCAGACTCACGGAACTCCGTGTTCATCAAGAACTGCAAGAAGCCCCTATCACGAGCTTTTACCATCCTATGGAGAGGGAGCATGGACACGGGGGTCGTCCCACAGTTACTAAAAATAACAGACATAGCCCCACTCCACAAAGGGGGCAGTAAAGCAATAGCAAAGAACTACAGACCGATAGCACTAACATCCCATATCATAAAATCTTTGAAAGGGTCCTAAGAAGCAAGATCGCCACCCATCTAGAAACCCATCAATTACACAACCCAGGGCAACATGGGTTTAGAACAGGTCGCTCCTGTCTGTCTCAACTATTGGATCACTACGACAATGTCCTAGATGCACTAGAAGACAAAAAGAATGCAGATGTAATATATACAGACTTTGCAAAAGCCTTGGACAAGTGTGACCATGGCGTAATAGCGCACAAAATGCATGCTAAAGGAATAACAGGAAAAGTTGGTAGATGGATCTATAATTTCCTCACAAACAGAACACAAAGAGTAGTAGTCAACAGAGTAAAGTCCGAGGCAGCTACGGTGAAAAGCTCTGTTCCTCAAGGCATAGTACTCGCTCCCATCTTGTTTCTCATCCTCATATCTGACATAGACAAGGATGTCGGCCACAGCACTGTGTCTTCCTTTGCAGATGACACCCGAATCTGCATGACAGTGTCTTCCATTGCAGACACTGCAAGGCTCCAGGCGGACATCAACCAAATCTTTCAGTGGGCTGCAGAAAACAATATGAAGTTCAACGATGAGAAATTTCAATTACTCAGATATGGTAAACAAGAGGAAATTAAAACTTCATCAGAGTACAAAACTAATTCTGGCCACAAAATAGAGCGAAACACCAACGTCAAAGACCTGGGAGTGATCATGTCGGAGGATCTCACCTTCAAGGACCATAACATTGTATCAATCGCATCTGCTAGAAAAATGACAGGATGGATAATGAGAACCTTCAAAACTAGGGATGCCAAGCCTATGATGACACTCTTCAGGTCACTTGTTCTATCTAGGCTGGAATATTGCTGCACACTAACAGCACCTTTCAAGGCAGGTGAAATTGCTGACCTAGAAAATGTACAGAGAACCTTCACGGCGCGCATAACGGAGATAAAACACCTCAATTACTGGGAGCACTTGAGGTTCCTAAAACTGTATTCCCTGGAACGCAGGCGGGAGAGATACATGATTATATACACCTGGAAAATCCTAGAGGGACTAGTTCCGAATTTGCACACGAAAATCACTCACAACGGAAGCAAAAGACTTGGCAGACGATGCAACATCCCCCCAATGAAAAGCAGGGGTGTCACTAGCACGTTAAGAGACCATACAATAAGTGTCAGGGGCCCGAGACTGTTCAACTGCCTCCCAGCATACATAAGGGGGATTACCAATAGACCCCTGGCAGTCTTCAAGCTGGCACTGGACAAGCACCTAAAGTCGGTACTTGACCAGCCGGGCTGTGGCTCGTACGTTGGTTTGCGTGCAGCCAGCGGTAACAGCCTGATTGATCAGGCTCTGATCCACCAGGAGGCCTGGTCACAGACCGGGCCGCGGGGCGTTGACCCCCGGAACTCTCTCCAGGTAAACTCCAGGTAATGCTACTTCGGCTATGCCATCATCATTAACATTAGCTGCAATTTTTACATTAGTTACCGTTATGTCAGTGCTAATATCATTATTATCATCATTGTCATTTTCATCATAATTATTATCAATATACAATCCCTTCCACATTACTACATGATACCTTCCTTTGTGGC